GTGAGTCCAATCTATGAGGTATCAGACCTATCCTTATCCTACTTTCTCTTTGGGCTTTAGGGCACAAGGTTTGGAGTTGGACTAGGGGTCCAACAATATAATAGGGAGGTGCCCACAAGTTAAAAAAAAGTGATCACCAGCTTTTAAGTCATGTGTAATATAATTGTCTCTTATTTTTAAGCGTCAAAAGCTCAAGTTAAGGGCAAATTTGTAAAATCATAATGAAAATTGACGAAATTGGATAGCGTTCTACTTTAGGGGGTGTAGTTTGGCACCTTTTGAAAAGTTGAAAGGATTATTTGGTGCTAAAAAATAGTTCAGAGGTGTTTTCCAATAAATTTGGATATTTCAGGGGAGGTTTCGTTCAATTTTGCTTATTTTTATTAGCTAGTATAGAGTTATTTGTGCTTCGAATGAAGATTTCAAGTTGGCCTTATTCTATATGAAGAAAGAGTCACAATTTTAATAGATAGAGCCCAACAAAGAACTTTTGTTGTCAACTTTTAAGAATGACTATTATCTCTCCCAAACTCATTTTGACCGATAAATTGGACAGTGTTGTGAAGTTTCGACATTGTTTGGCAGAATGGGAACCACTCACCTTGAGAACCACTTGAACTTTAGAAGTGGAGTGCTTTTTTTCTATCACTAAACGTTACGGTTTTTATTGAGGATAGACAAATTTAAGAAAACAATCCAGGTACAAAGCATTCATGAGTTTATTACTTTGAGAAGAAGAATGGGCAAGTTTTATTGATTGGTTTCGTAGGCATGCTTTTGAATAAGTTTACCAAAGGAAATAGGGCAGGACTCATTTTAGGTGCCTCTACAAGTCCTAATGTGAAATTAATTATAATTACTATATGCCGATGGACACGTCCTAAAGGCCCACAAAGTTCTACAAGAAAAAAGATTTGTGCCAAGAGGTTCCTTATGGTTTGTCATAATTATAAGAACTTTTTCTGTAATTTGAAAAATTATTCGGACTTCCCATAAAAATAAAACTAACTTACACAGACCTCCCTTCTTAGTGACGGACCGTTAAATGCACTAATGGATTGTCTAATTTACTGAAATACTCCCATTTGTTATAGTAAATAACTGTAGTACCCATCTGTATGAGAGATAAGATGGATGAAGGGTAATATAGAAATTTCAATTTATTTAGTACATGACATCAAGAAAATATGTCATTGATTTGCGTTGACCATAACAGAAGAGAGGTATTTTTAGAATAATATTTTTAGAATAATTTCCCAAACTATTAGAAACATAACTGTAACTATGACAAAACATATGAGAGATCTATGCAATTTACCCTATATTGAATGTCATTAAAAACCTTGGCTGCATTCCTGGAAAAATTCAAGAGAATGGCCTAATTTAATATATTACCAAAAAAAAAAAAACATAGTTGCACGATTGTTTTCAAGCGGTACAAAACAACAAATTTGATATTAAACATTCAAAAAAAGAGTAACCAAGAACCACATAAAATAAATTTCAATGAGATAGCCGAGGATTAAGGAAAAGTTGTTATAGTCAGACAAATTAAGCAGCCCCCAACCTAAGGTAGCATCATCAGTCCCAACAAGTATGGCCCAAAGGTAGACACGAGCTATGAAGATAGATTGAGAAATTATTACATTGTTCACAATTCAATACGTGAGGAAAAGTTGTAATTATTTTTTTTTACTTACGTATTAAATTGGGATAATTCAAAATTATGTAATAATTTCTCAAATAAATCAGATCAATTAGCTCAAGCCTAGATAACACCCATAGAAATACTACTTGGTGCTACATTATCTACTAACCCCAAAACTATAGAAATAACATAAATATGATCTAGGGATAAGAAACCGATATGATTAAACGTACACAATCCAACTTATGCAGAATATGCCCAAACATCAAATGGACATGTAGACCCTATTCGCCCATGGAGATGCATTGACAGTGTCAACCCTGTTCAAATTCGACATGTAGACCCTATTATTTGACTAATTTCCCGATTGATAATTTCGTTGTCTCTGGAATTGAAATTTAAGATTGTTTAATAACCAGTCCTTAGAAAATAGAAATAAAAATGAAAAATTGTTTTAGTTATCTGAAAACGTGTATTTTCTGACAACTAAAACTCAACCAAACTGATTTTGGTTCCGACAAAGGAATCAAGCTAAATTCTTCTGTACACAATAACTGAGGTTGGGTGAGCCAAAACAAAGTTAACGACTTGTAGCCTCCACATTCAACAAGGACAATCTAAGAAGACCCTCATTTCAGCTACAACTTTAATTAAGACAAAACAGAACAAATGTATGCCATGAACAAAGTTAGAGAAACAGAACACTTTCTTGAAGATAAATTCAAACCCATAACAAGAAACAGAGATATAATCAAAACCTGAAATATTGAAAATCATCAAAGGAAGCCAAAAGATTGAAATTCACGAAATAAATAACTCATAGAACCTAGGGTTCAAGCAATGCGGTATATGAGAAAATTAACAGAAAAATAGGAATATTATATGGAGGAGAGTGCGTGGATAGAGGTTTAGAGAAACACCATGCACCAGCTTTGATTGCTCCGTTCATAGGTTGAAGATTTTTTGTGTGTGAGAAGAGGATATTGGATAGATAGGGAATATATATACATATATATATATATATAATATGTGACTAGTAGTGAATTATGAGATGCTTCAAGAGTTCGGACAGTAAAAAATAAAAAATAAATAAATATTCTTTTTTATTTAAATTTTAAAACATTAATTCGGTATTTCTAAACCAAGTTTAATAAAATCATTTTTGAGAAGTTTATATGAAGTTAGGGTAGGATTGACAGAGGAAAATAGAAAATTCGCTTGCAAAACAAAAATTTGAACCCGTTGGAATGTCAGTTTTTGTTTCTATTGTCGTAAAAATAAAATAAGAAAAAAAGAAAAGAAAGAAAGAACTCCACTCCATAATCTATGTACTAATTGTATTTAGTGGAGACCAAAATACTATTATGAGTTCTTTTTATATATATACATATATATATATATTTAATCAACCAAACAAATAGTAAAAATATATGAGTTTAATTTTTGTTTCCTTCTCAAACTTAAATGTAGCACCAACCCATATAGAGGATAGCGCTTAGAAACGGAGCCAACTTTCTCCCACCGAAATGTCTTGTCGCAATGACAACGATTAGAATTAACATGCATGATAGCCGTCAATGAAGTTTAAAAAAAGGTACCGGTAAGAAAAAAAATTAATCACGATGTAGGTGGCGGTGGCCATGCTGAACACTAAAAATTCATTGTGCGGATAATACTAAAAGTTCATTGTTCTCCGCACAATGCAACATATACCATTGAATATCTATTTAACCAAATACGAAATAATATATCGAACTTTTGTGAAAGACAGTAAAGGCGGCTGTCCACAAAATTAATCTAAAAGAGTTTAAACATTTACCTTTATTGATTTGAAAAAAAAAATTCAAAATTTAAGGATAATTTGAGAAAGCTGTAAATGTGAAAAATTTCAGAAAGAAAATGAACACATATTCTGAACATCCAAAAATATAAACAGGACAATATAGGATGAAAGAAGTATAATATATATATATATATATATACACACACACACACACACTACACACACATTGTGTGGTCTGTATAAATAATGTTGAGGTAACCGAGGACCAATCGGCTCTTGAAAGATCGTGACAACAGAAATATCACATGAGTTGATACAGTTGACCCGACATGGGTTTTCTTTAATTTCCTCTGAGTTGACCCACTCCACCTCCCATTTCTGCACTCTAAAATGACACTATTACTGCACATGGTGATTAAATATTTTGTATTTTTAATGAGAGAGCCAAACTACAAAACCATGGTCACCATTTTCGGCTTTGGTCATAGAAATATTTTGGATAGACTTTGAATTTTTTTGAGACATCTTCTAACAACTTAGGTTTTGAATCTCACAAATCATTTGTTGTGGGCTTCATGGTACGTATTGGGTTGGGGACATGACTTGATTAAACTAGTCTGGGTTGGTGAGTCCAGCCTATGAGGTATCAGACCTACCCTTAACCTACTTTCTCCATGGGCTTTAGAGCATCCGCAGCCCACTAGCGGAAGCCTTATTCCGCGAGCCTTAACCTGCTTTTGGTCCTCCAGCGGCCTCTTCAAAATGGTAGGGCCCATTTGAGGCTCACGGGCCGGCTCGCGGTATTCAGCGAGCCGGCCCGCAATCGGGGTATTTTTTTTTTCGTTTTTTATGGGTTCAAAACGGAGCCGTTTAGTTGCCTTTCTTTTGTCACTTTGTAACAGTGGTGTAACAGTGCACCAAACAGTGCCTAAGGCAGTTTTACCTAAAAATAGGTTCAAATGAGCTCTTTTTTTTGGGAAAAAAATAAAATAAAATTCATTAAACAAAAAATATATTGTTTAGGCACTATCTATCAAAAAAAAAATTTTATTTGGGTCAAAAAAAAATTCAAAAAGCTTTTGTTTTTTTTTTTTGCTTTAAATTGTAATCCTTATTTTCTTATTCCAATTCATTATTTTTAATCCTTATTTTGTACTCCTTAAAATTGAAATTTATTTGGGCCAAAAATAAATTCAAAAAGCTTTTGCTTTTTTTTTAACTTTTTTTCCTTAAAATTTGTTTTTTTATTTTTGCTTTAAATTGTAATCCTTATTTTCTTATTCCAATTCATTATTTTGAATCCTTATTTTGTAATCCTTATTTATTTGGGCCAAAAATAAATAAATAAAAACTTTTTTTAACACTTTTTGTAATAAAAAAAAATTAAAATTACAAATTCATCTACTTATTCCCGTATAATTTTCTAATACTTATTTTCTTATTCCAATTCATTATTTTTAATCTTAAAAAACCATTACATAATAAAAATTCTAGTACACGAAATGTCATAACATCTTAAAAGCAAATAAAATGCAACATAAATTAAACATCTTCATCAGCATAGTGGTTTCACAAATTTTCCATCAAATCATTCCTTAACCGCGTATTTGTCTCTCTGTTGCGAATCTGAAATTGGCGAGAGGATATGTGTGCCGCTAAAACTGATGGGCATTGACTTAAAATGGGAATTAGGATTGCATCCTCCAGTGACGGAGTCCATCTTCCAACATTTGCATGACGCTCATCTTCAATGATCATATTGTGAAGGATGATGCACGTTTTCATTATGAGGCGCAAGTCATCTTTCTCCCAGTAACGCACTGGTCTTTGCGTTATTGCCCACTTGATCTGCAATACCCTAAAAGCTCGTTCCACATCTTTTCTTTCTGCCTCTTGTCGCTGAGCAAATAATTTTTCTTTTGTAGTGGTTGGGTGCGGGATGGTCTGCATCAAAGTTGCTCACTTAGGGTATATACCATCAGATAAGTAATACCCTATTTTATAGTGATGTCTATTCACTACATAATTAACCAGAGGTAATTGGCCATTGATGATGCCGTTGAATACCGAGGAATGATCCAACACATTTATATCATTGTGTGAACCCGGCATTCCGAAGAATGCATGTCAGATCCACAAATCTTGTGAGGCAACTGCTTCCAATACGAGAGTATTCTTACCAGATCGTCCCCTATGTGTGCCTTGCCACTCCACTGGGCAATTCTTCCACTCCCAGTGCATACAGTCGATAGAACCAAGCATACCCGGAAAACCTCTCTGCTCCCCTTCTTCAAGCAACCGTGCTATGTCGGCTTCGTTGGGGGGGCGCATATACTCCTCTGCACACATAGCAACAATAGCATTACAAAATGACTACAAGCATTTGATGGCAATACTCTCACCGATTTTAATATACTCATCATAGTGATCGGTTGCACAACCATATGCGAGTATACGAATAGTAGTTGTCATCTTCTGTATAGAAGACAATCCCAGACGACCAGTTGCATCCTTTTTTTTGGACAAAGTGGTCATCATAAGCTTTGACATCATTAAGGATACGAAGAAAAAGTTCTCGTCGCATCCTGAATCGCCTGTGAAAGTACTCCGGTGGATATGTGCAATTCTCGTTGAAGTAGTCTTTCATTAGCTGATAGTGGCTTCCCTCTCGGTCACGATGAATGTACCGCTTCTTTTTATGGACTTGAAATACTTGCTCGACTATCTCTGGCCTCACTGAATTCATAATCTCATAGAATTCATCTTAATCCTGTTGAATCAACGCCCCAAAAGGATCACCTTCCGAAGAGGATGACGAGAAAGATGAAGAATTAGAGTCTACCAAAGGAAAAGCTTGTGATGACGAAGCCATTCGAATTTTGAAATTGAAAAAGATGGATGATGATATTTTGCTACAATGGAGAAAAATGATTATAGTGATGATTTTCAAATGAGCAAATGAGTTTCATTATATAAGATGAAAATATAGCCGTTTAAAATTCAAATTTTAAAAATATAGCTGTTACAAATATAGCCGTTAAAAATTCAAATTTAAAAATATTGCCGATAAAAATTCAAATTTTAAAATATAGCCGTTACAAATATAACGGTTAAAAATTCTATTTTTAAAAATATAGCCGTTTAGGAAAAATTTAAAAAAATTCATAATTTTAATTTTTTATTATTAGTTTTTTTGGATAGCGAAAATTCGGAGAGTCTGATGGAGTGCATGTTTTTTTAGAGCGAAAACTGCTGACGTGGCTCTTGGAATTGCTGATGCGGCTCTTGGAAAAGCTGATATGGCGTTTTTAGAGAGCCAAAATTCAGAGAGGCTGGTGCGGATGCTCTTAGGGCACAAGGTTTGGAGTTGGACTAGGGGTCCAATAATACAATAGGGAGGTGCCCACAAGTTTAAAAAGTGATCACCAGCTTATAAGTCATGTGCTGTTATATATATGGGTGTGGGGTCCCTAATATGATATGTTATCAATGAGATCATCTTTTGGCTTACAAATGAAAGACATATGCTGTGGCGTACAGTAAAAACTTGTTTTTAAGCCTATAAAAGGCATGTGTATGTACTGATTAAGGGCAAGATAATGAAAAGTTCTTCATTCTCCTTTCTTCGTTTTCTTTCTGTTCGTTCTCTCTCTCTGTCTCTAAAAACTTTGTCTTAATTTCTCTTAGACTACTATTCTCTATATATATATATATACAAATACACATATATTTATTATACGTTATCAGCACGAGCTCCATCCATCTGAGATTTGAAGAAAAAAGCTTTCTCTTCCTCTTTCTATCCCAATTATATATCTATTTTGTGATATTAGTTTTGATAGATTGTTGGGTTGGTTTGCTTTATTGAAGAAAATAAAATTTCTGACTCCAAAGGGTAAGAAAATTTTAAGTATAGATTATTATTCATAAAATAAATTTGTTCACTTAAATGATATATGTGCTTATACTATGGTCGGTTTTACCACCTTTATTTTACTGATCCACTAATTATGATCGGTCTTACCACCTTTATTATTTAATATTTTATGGCTGATTTTACCGCCTTTATTGTTTAATAATGGCTGGATTTACCATCTTTGTTATTTAAATAATTTATATTAAGTTATTATTTCATTTAATGTCATTTTATTTTATATACTATGCTAAATTATATTTTTATATTGTTGTCACATCTAGTTATTCTGAAAATGTCAAATTTGACAAAGCTGGAATTCTTGGCCCTGGATATTTCTAGCAAAAATTATTTATCTTGGATTATGGATGCTCAGATCCATTTGGATGCCATGGGCCTTGGAGACACAATCAAAGAAAAAATTGATGCATCATTGCAAGATAAAGCAAATGCCATGATTTTCCTCCGGCGCCATATTAGTGAGGAACTGAAAACTGAATACCTCACTGAAAGATATCCACTTTGTTTGTGGAATAATTTGAAAGAAAGATATGATCATCAAAAAACAGTCATCCTCCCAAAGGCCAGGGCTGATTAACTGCAACTGAGGTTGCAAGATTTTAAAACTGTGGCTGAATATAACTCTGCTCTATTCAAAATCAGCTCTACATTGAAATTATGTGATGATACTGTTACTAATGAACTTTTGCTAGAAAAAACATTCACCACATTTCATGCCTCGAATGTACTCTTGCAACAACAATATCGAGAGCGTAGATTTAAAAAATATTCAGAGCTGATATCATGTTTGCTTGTGACAGAACAAAATAATGAGCTTTTGTTGAGAAACCACCAGTCCCGTCCAACTGGATCGACATCGACCCCTGAAACATATGTTGCCTTATCCCATGGTCGTGGACGCAGATGTGGACGTGGTCGTGGTGGTAGAAATGAATATGGTCGTAGTAAAAATAACTACCACAATAATGAATATGGTCGTGGTAGAAATCATTCTTATTATCATGAAAGATATCAATCCTCACATTTTCGCAATCAGAGATCCACACCATATCCTCAAAGGAAAAATCATAATGAAATGAGACAAGTAAAAGGGAAGGATGTGGCTCAACCTTCCAAAGCTCATTATAATACTTGTTACCGATGTGGAATAACGGGGCATTGGCAAAGCATTTGTCGTACACCTAAGCATCTGGCTGACCTTTACCAAGCCTCAATAAAAGAAAAAGGGAAACAAAAGGAAATGAATTTCCTTGATCATGATGAGCCAATTGACACCACAAATTTGGAAATGAATTTCATTAATCATGATGAGCCAGTTAACATCACAAATCTGGATGTATCAGATTTTTTTGAGGACCGTGATGGAAGGATAGACTTCCTGATTGGTGATGGAAATGTCCACACCAATTAATCTTATTTTCTTTTCATATTCTGTCTATTATGTTTTTATTTTCCTTGTATTTTCCTTGTATTAAAGTTTTTATCTTCTAGTTTGTATTAAAGTTTATTTTGTTATAAAAATGTCTTTTCTGATAAAGAAATTTTCATGAATAGGAATGGATCTGACTAGTTCCAAAATAAATGGTGAAGAAATATGTCTTGTAGATAGTGGAACGACACACACAATCCTTCGAGATCAAAAATATTTTTCCCATTTAATTCTGACAGACGCCAGTGTCAGTACTATATCAGGTCCCACCGACTTGATTGAAGGCTTTGGACGAGCCAACATCAATTTACCACATGAAACAAGATTACAAATCAATGATGCTTTATATTATACAAGATCTTGGAGAAATCTGTTCAGTTTTAAAGATTTGCGTCGTAATAGATATCATATTGAGACTGTAAATGAACGAAATATGGAATATCTCTACATTACTTCCATTATCTCAAGCAAGAAGCTGATATTAGAAAAAATCCTTATTTTCTCTTCTGGGTTATACTATACAACCATTAGGACAATTGAGTCAAATGCTGTGATCCATAAAAAATCTTGTGACCCAAAACTTTTTATGTTTTGGCATGATCGACTTGGTCACCCAGGGAGTACAATGATGCGTCGAATTATTGAAAATTCGCATGGACACCCACTAAAGAATCAAAAAATCATCTTACCAAATAATCATTTATACACCGCTTGCTCACAAGGTAAGTTGATTATCAGACCATCCCATTCAAAAGTCATTGTTGAGTCTCCTCCATTTTTACAACGAATTCATGGGGATATATGTGGGCCAATTCATCCACCCTCTGGACCATTTCGTTATTTTATGGTCTTAATTGATGCCTTAACACGATTGTCACATGTTTGTCTACTTTCTACTCGTAATGTTGCATTTGCTAGACTCCTTGCTCAAATCATTAAATTACGGGCACACTTTCCTGATTACCCAATTAAGATAATCCGTCTTGATAATGCTGCTGAATTTTCTTCTCAAACTTTTGATAATTATTGCATGTCCGTTGGAATTAATGTTGAACACCCTGTTGCACACACTCATACTCAAAATGGTATGGCCGAATATTTTATTAAAAGACTTCAGTTAATTGGTCGTCTTCTACTTATGCGAACAAAATTACCTGTTTCTGCCTAGGGTCATGCCATATTGCATGCTGCATCATTAGTTCGTATACGACCAACTGCTTATCATAATTAGTACTCATCATTGTAACTTGTTTTTGGTCAACAACTAAATATTTCTCACAAACGAGTTTTTGGTTGTGCTGTATATGTTCCAATTGCACCACCCCAACGCACTAAAATGGGTCCTCAACGTAGACTTGAAATTTATGTTGGTTTTGATTCTCCATCTATTATTAGATATCTTGAACCCCTAACAGGTGATATCTTTAAAGTACGATTTGCTGACTGTCATTTTGATGAGATTGTTTTCCCACCATTAGGGGGAGAAAAGGAACAGCAGCAACGTGATCTTACTTGGAATGCCCTTGAATTGTTTCATTTTGATCCTCGTACAAATCAATGTGAACGAGAAGTTCAGAGGATCATGCACTTGCAAAATGTTGCAAATCAATTACCTGATACATTTACTACTACAAAGAAAGTGATAAAATCACATATACCAGCTGCAAATATTCCAGCTCGAATTACTGTCCCTGAGGGACCTTCTGTTAGTAATGCAGCAAATGCATCTAAAACACGCCTAAAGCGTGG